TTACAGTGTACAGTCAGTAAGCAGTTACACCGGCGGGCCCCGGTGGCAATAAATTAGTAAAACCAAAAGCTTACCTTGACTTGGAAGAGTTCCAGTGTTGTGTTGGATAGTCATAGCCAGCTAGCTAACATATCATCCCTCTGTAGGCTGAACTAGCTAGCTGCATTTGCTAGCTAAGTAAGTGAAACTGAAAGTGAAAAAAATTATGAAATCTCTCTTTCTATTTCTCTCTTGCTTCTCCTTCATTTTTGAAGAAATTGATATGTTCAAAATTGTTCAACTATTGTCTTTCTCTCTCTGTGAGTCAATTACGCACCACATTTTATGCACTGCAGCGCTAGCTAGCTGTAGCTTATGCTTTCAGTACTAGATAATTCTCTGATCCTTTGATTGGGTGGACAACATGTCAGTTCATGCTGCAAGAGCTCTGATAGGTTAGAGGACGTCCTCCGGAAGTTGTCATAATTACTGTGTAAGTCTATGGAAGGGGGTGAGAACCATGAGCCTCCTAGGTTTTGTATAGAAGTCAATGTACCCAGAGGAGGACGGAAGCTAGCTGTCCTCCGGCTACACCATGGTGCTATTGAGGCTACTGTAGACCTTCTTTGTTTTAATCAATTATTTGGTGACGTGATTATATTTAGTATAGTTTTATCTAAAAATGGTAACTTTTTAAAATGTTTTACAATTTTTATTTTTATGAAAAATAAAAGCAAGTCAGGTAAAGAGCTTTTTTCATTGTCTTAAAGGGGCAGTGTTGTATTTTGAAAAAGGCTTGAATAAGCCAAGTAGCCAATAGGCAGAGGGTAGCATAATTTGTTTGATTCTCTGTAATAATGGTATGGGAATAATAATGCATTTTATTTTGTAAAGTGGTTTCTTACATCAAACAACACAACAACATTTTCAGTCACCTCCTAGTCTGAAGGACAAGTAGAAAAACAGGTTAATGTCAAGCCCTGCATGGAATGTAGGCCTACATTGAACACCACACACTGGATGCTACTGTAGGCCGAATGATAGAACAGCTATTTCCATGTTAAAATGTTATGGGACTCATTTTCTCCATTGTTTTTGATGGTAGGACACTCTGGTAGGCCTACATTATGATCCAATAGCCACAGTAGCCTACATGGCCACTGTTATAACTTAAAGCGGGTACAGCCTCAGTGTTCACAGTAAACGCGCGCTGGAAGTTGCACAGAATTTTCACAACATTCAAGTTTGCGCTCAGCAGACCTGAAATTTGCTCAGTGCTGAATTTTTTTTGAGGGAACATTGGTCATAAATACATGGAGGTGAAGCCAATCGACATCATCCTTCAGAAGCAGGATGATGAAATCAACCTCTACCAACACCTTTACTTTGTGACAACCGAGCCTCCTACTTTACAGAGAAAAGCAGCAATATTTACAAATCACTAGACACAAACTTCCACCCCTTCCTCCATCATTGGAGAACTCCAGTTCCCAGTCCTCCTCTGGAGTCTCATGGCACCCACTCTTCTGCTCCTTAGCAGAGGTGCCCTTTAATCTACAGGACTTTAGTGTGGCACAGGTGTATTCCTGCAACTGCTCAACCTGGGCCAGTACTGCCAAGCCTTTAAGGGAGCAGATCGACGGGGAACTGTTGTACACAGTGGAGCACAGCATGATGACGGAGACCCTGGGACTGGAGCGCCTGCACGTGGGCAAGCTGTTCCGTTTCCGACAGGGCTGGAGGCCCTTACTTGGGTCCTCTGGAGCTGAGCAGGTTGGTTAGTAACGGATTACATGTAATGTGGACTATGTAATCAGATTACAAAAATGTAAGGGGGCAAACAACAATATAGCAGTCATCCTGTCACTTTTTTGGTAATCAGCTACATGAAAGTAAATAAAAGGACATTCAAAATAAAGGTTAATTCCTGCTGGGAAGCAAATATTCATCCACACAGCCTGATTAAAATAACAGGTTTCAGGCTGACTGCCTTGTCCCGCTGTCACACCACAGGGCAGATGGAGTCACTGAGAAGTCATTTTCATTTCCATTTCATTTACCACATCTACAGCAATAAGATACTTAAATAAATACCGGTACCTACAGGAGGTCAAAGAAAATAAACTAAATATACAAAACATTAAGAACACCTGCTCTTTCCATTACACAAACTGACCAGGTGAATCCAGGTGAAATCCATGATCCCTTATGTCACTTGATAAATCCACTTAAATCAGTGTAGATGAAGGGGAGACACGTTAAAGAAGGATTTATAAGCCTTGAGACAATTGCGACAAGGATTTTGTATGTGTGCCATTCAGAGCGTGAATGGGCAAGACAAAATATTGAAGTGCCTTTGAACAGGGTATGGGAGTAGGTGCACCGGTTTGGTCAAGAACTGCAACACTGCTGGGTTTTTCGCACGCAACAGTTTCAGTGTATCAAGAATGGTCCACCACCACTCAAAGGACATCCAGCCAACATGACTCAATATTAGGAAGGTGTTCCTAATGTTTGGTATATTCAGTGTAAGTTTTAGCGGCAACAAATAGAATGCAGGGGAAAAATTTAACTGGCAAAAGGATCTAAGCTCTTTGCTAAAAGATATACCTCAGACAGCTAATCAAATAAAATGTTATCAAATTCGTCACATGCTTCATGAACAGTGTGTACTAACAGTGAAATGCTTACTTACGGGCCCTTCCCAACAATGCAGAGAGAAATAAAATAGAAAAGTAAAACAAAGTAATAATCAAAGTAATAATAGATACATATGAGTAATGATAACTTGGCTATATAAAAGGGGTACCAGTACCGAGTCGATGTGCAGGGGTACGAGGTAATTGAGGTAGATAAAGTGACAGATAGTAAACAGTAGCAGCAGCGTATGTGATGAGTCAAAAAGGTTAGTGCAAAAAGGGTCAATGCAGATAGTTAAATAGTTAACCAAATAGCTACCCGGACTAACTATTTAGCAGTCTTATGGCTTGGGGGTAGAAGCTGTTCAGGTTTCTGTTTGTTCCAGACTTGGTGCATCTGTACCGCTTGCCGTGTGTGAGAGCAGAGAGAACAGTCTTGACTTGGGTGGCTGGAGTCTTTGACAATTTTAGGGGCTTCCTCTGACACCGCCTGGTATAGAGGTCCTGGATGGCAGGAAGCTTGGCCCCAGTGATGTACTGGGCCGTACGCACTACCCTCTGTAGTGCCTTGTAGTTGGATGCCAAGCAGTTGCCATACGAAGCAGTGATGCACCCAGTCAAGATGCTCTCAATGGTGCAGTTGTAGAACCTTTTGAGGAGCTGAGGGCCCATGCCAAATATTTTCAGCCTCCTGAGGGGAAAGAGGCGTTGTTGTGCCCTCTTCATGACTGTGTTGGTGTGTTTGGACAATGATAAATCCTTAGTGATGTGGACACCGAGGAACTTGAAGCTCTCAACCAGCTCCACTACAGCCCCGTCGATGTAAATGGGGGCATGCTCGGCCCGCCGTTTCCTGTAGTCCACAGTCAGCTCCTTTGTGTTGCTGACGTTGAGAGGTTGTTGTCCTGGCACCACACTGCCAGGTCTCTGACCACCTCCCTATAGGATGCCTCATCGTCGTCAGGTGATCAGGCCTACCACTGCCATGCCATTGGCAAACTTAATGATGGTGTTAGAGACGTGCGCGGCAACGCAGTCGTGGGTGAACGAGGAATATAGGAGGGGACTAAGCAAGCACCCCTGAGGGGCCCCCGTATTGAGGGTCAACGTGGCGGATGTGTTGTTGCTTACCCTCACCACCTGGGGGCTTCCCATCAGGAAGTCCCGGATCCAGTTGCAGAGTGAGGTGTTTAGTCCCAGGGTCCTTAGCTTAGTGATGAGCTTGGAGGGCACTATGGTGTTGAATGCTGAGCTGTAGTCAATGAACAGCATTCTCACGTTGGTGTTCTTTTTGTCCAAATCGGAAATGGCAGTGTAGAGTGCAATAAAGATGGCGTCATCTGTGGATCTGTTGGGGCGGTAGGCGAATTGGGAGTGGGTCCAGGCCGGGTTTCTGGGATGATGTGATGTGTTAATGTGAGCCATGACCAGCCTTTCAAAGCATTTCATGGCTGCAGATGTGAGTACAAGAAACATAGGATATTACAGTTCTTCAGGTCCCGTTTATAGGATAGTCTCGAACAGAACTCATCCAGTTTGTTCTCCAGTGATTGTACATTCACCAATAGAACAGAGGGTAGAGGCGGATTATGAACTCGCCGCCGTAGTTTCATCAGGGTACCCGCACGTCTGCCTCTATATCGCCGTCTCTTTCTCTTCCGAGAGTCAGGATTAGGTCCTGGTCCGGGGTGGGTAGTATATCCTGCGCCGCCGACTGATTGAAGTAGAAATCTTCATCCAAATCGAGGTTAGTGATTGCTGTTCTGATGTCCAGAAGCTCTTTTAGGTCATAGGAAATGTTGGCAGAAACATTATGTACAAAGACAGTTAAGATCAGTGCCAAAAAACACACAAAATAGTCAAATTGGTCAGGAGCCCGTAAAACGGACGCTATACATTCCATTTCTACATCCTGTGAGCTGAAAGTAGATGGGCTGAATAGGTGGAAACTTGAGAGAGCTTTTTCAGTATGAACATGATACATTAATAGCAATCAAATAAGTAACCACACCTGAGGCAAGACTCATTGTGATTCATATATATATATATATATTTTTTTTTTTTACTATCACAGTGCAAAAGATGAGACAACAAATTATTTCTGAGGAAAGAGAGAGGATGGCCTCAGTAAACAAGGGTTCTTTCAACATTTTGGGAATCATTTCAGACCCCTATACATTTCAAATAATTGTAGAATGCTTCACTATAGGGCATGTCACATATTGTGTATTTATTGGTGTATGTATCAGCTGATGCAAACACATTTCCCCTAAGATAGTAAGCTACTATCTTATCTTATCTGAGCTGTTTTCCATAGATGTCTGAAAATCAACCAATACTGTAAAGCTGCATAGGACCAGGAATACAATGTCCTCCATGATGTCATCCAGAAGCCTCTTGCTTTAACCTGTCCAACACCTGCTCCGGGGTTAGTGACCCAGTCACCTTGATAATCTTCTCTCTGGATCTGGATCCCTGCAGAGAGACATAAGGACATGATGCAGCATTTTAGTTTAAATTCCTAAAACTGTTCTGTTATGGGAAACACAGTAGGCTATATAAACAAACCTTGTCCAAAACGACTTCGCTTCTCTTCAACTCCAGCACCTTGGAGAGATACCGCACAAGCTCCGCATTGGCCTCCCCATCTGTTGGCGGTGCGGCAATAGCGACACCTACTGCCTCTATAGACACATCTGGGAAATAAAATATATATATTTTTTTTTTACATAGCCTAGCTACGTTAAATGTATTACACACCAAAAATACACAAATAATACGAGCTCACAAATATGGGGCTAGCCCTCAATTAGTCTTATAGTTGAGTTTCTACTGCCATCAGTTTTCGGCATACAAAAAGAGTGCACCTGTAATCGCGTTCTGTTTAGATCCAGGCTTCGCGTGCACTGAAATTGTCACCACTCCGTTCTTGTTTCGAGCTACTGGCCCAGAAGGCGAGGGTTTCTCCGACGGCTTCTGTAGGCCTACAGTTTTACTCTGAGGAAAAGAGAGAGGCACAAAATGTTTAGAAAGTACAGTAGTAAGTAGCCATTGGTCTGCATGAAAGTTCATTTGAGTCAAATAGTTCCATCGTTATGTCAAGATCACAACTTATTTAACTCATGATCACAAGATAATTTTCTCGTGGTCACGACATAACAAAAGTTGTTTTGTCATGATCACAAAATAAAAGTACCACGCATCATCCATTAATTTCTTCAGATGCATGATAACCACTTCATCAAGCAGCCACAGGTTGATTGCAATGCAGGGTATTTAAACTCTGAACAATGCCTGACAGGCAGTCCTGTCTCCCTGTCTGCTTGCCGCCTCCAAGACCACAGCCAATCGCATGCAAGGAACAACGCAGCTAACTTGGATAGTCTTGCTAGCTAGTTAGCTAGGTAGTCGTTAGCTAGCAAGCTAGCTTGTTATCTATGCTGGTTGTTAGCTTGCATAACTTATATGTGTATAATTATAAGGGACACTTCATGTTTTGTGTATAATATTTACATTTACAGTGGGTGAGCTCCACTACTGATCAGATTCAATTTCAGCCTCAGAGGCACGACTCCAACACCATCATTAAGTTTGCCGACGACACAACAGTGGTAGGACAGAGGGTAGTGCGTATGGCCCAGTACATCACTGGGGCCAAGCTTCCTGCCATCCGGGACCTCTATACCAGGCGGTGTCAGAGGAAGGCCCTCAAAATTGTCAAAGACTCCAGCCACCCTAGTCATAGACTGTTCTCTCTGCTACCGCATGGCAAGCGGTACCGGAGCGCCAAGTCTAGGTCCAAAAGGCTTCTCAACAGCTTATACCCCCAAGCCATAAGACTCCTGAACAGCTAATCATGGCTTCCCGGACTACTTGCACCCCCACCCCATCTTTTTACGCTGCTGCTACTCTGTTAATTATTTATGCATAGTCACTTTAACTCTACCCACATGTACATATTAACTCAACTACCTGGTTCCCCCGCACATTGACTCTGAACCGGTACCCCCCTGTATATAGCCTCCCTACTGTTATTTTATTTTACTTCTGCTCTTTTTTTCTCAACACTTTGTTGTTGTTGTTGTTGTTTTATTTTACTTTTTTATTAAGAAATAAATGCATTGTTGGTTAAGGGCTGTAAGTAAGCATTTCACGGTAATGTCTACACCTGTTGTATTCGGCGCATGTGGCAAATAAAATGTGATTTGATTTGATTTAATTTGATGTCAGCATGCTACCTTGTAGGCTGTTTTATAGGTAAAGCTCCTTGCAGGCAGATTAGACTGATGCATATAATCCAGAGTGGGTGAGCTATATTCCTGGCAGGCTGATCAGATTCAATAGCAGCCTCAGAGGCTGCTAAATCAGGTTGGTGCCTTGTAGGCTGTTTCCTATGTAAGGCTCCTTGCAGACAGCCTACAAGGCAACATCCTGACTTATCAGCCTCTCAGGCTGCTATTGAATCTGATCATCCTGCCAGGAATAGAGCGCACCCACTCTTGATCATATACATAATGCACTGACTGCTAATCTGCCTGCAAGGAGTTTTACCTATGAAACAGCCTACAAAGTAGAATCCTGATTTACAGTGCATTCGGAAAGTATTCAGACCCCTTGACCTTTTCCCGCATTTTGTTACGTTACAGCCTTATTCTAAAATGGATTAAATTATTTTTTCCCCTCATTAATCTACACCCAATACCCCATAATGACAAAGAAAAAACACGATTTTAGAAATTTGTGCAAATGTATTAAAAATAAACAACTGAAATATTACATTTACATAAGTATTCCGACCCTTTACTCAGTACTTTGTTGAAGCACCTTTGGCAGCAATTACAGCCTCAAGTCTTCTTGGATATGACGCTACAAGCTTGGCACACCTGTATTTGGGGAGTTTCTCCCATTCTTCTCTGCAGATCCTCCCAAGCTCTGTCAGGTTGGAAGGGGAGTTTCGCTGCACAACTACTTTCAGGTCTCTCCAGAGATGTTTGATCGGGTTCAAGTCCGGGCTCTGGCTGGGCCACTCAAGGACATTCAGAAACTTTTTCTGAAGCCACTCCTGCATTGTCTTGGCTGTGTGCTTAGGGTCGTTGTCCTGTTGGAAGGTGAACCTTCGCCACAGTCTGAGGTCCTGAGCGCTCTGGAGCAGGTTTTCATCAAGGATCTCTCTGTACTTTGCTCTGTTCATCTTTCCCTCGATCCTGACTAGTCTCCCAGTCCCTGCCGCTGAAAAACATCCCCACAGCAGGATTCTGCCACCACCATGCTTCACCGTAGGGATGGTGCCAGGTTTCCTCCAGACGTGACGCTTGGCATTCAGGCCAAAGAGTTCAGTCTTGGTTTCATCAGACCAGTGAATCTTGTTTCTCATGTTCTGAGAGTCCTTTAGGTGCCTTTTGGCAAACTCCAAGCGGGCTGTCATGTGCCTTTTACTGAGGAGTGGCTTCCGTCTGGCCACTCTACTATAAAAGGCCTGATTGGTGGAGTGCTGCAGAGATGGTTTTCCTTTCGGAAGGTTCTCCCATCTCCACAAAGGAACTCTGGTGCTTGGTCTGAGTTCTGGAGCTTGGTCAGAGTGACCATCGGGTTCTTGGTCACCTCCCTGACCAAGGCCCTTCTCCCCCGATTGCTCAGTTTGGCCGGGCGGCCAGCTCTAGGAAGAGTCATGGTGGTTCCAAACTTCTTCCATTTAAGAATGATGGAGGCCACTGTGTTCTTGGGGACCTTCAATGCTGCAGAAATGTTTTGGTACCCTTCCCCAGATCTGTACCTTGACACAATCCTGTCTCAGAGCTCTACGGATAATTCCCTCGACCTCATGGCTTGGTTTCTTCTCTGACTTGCACTGTCAACTGTGCGACCTTTTATAGAAAGGTGTGTGCCTTTCAAAATCATGTCCAATCAATTGAATTTACCACAAGTGGACTCCAATCAAGTTGTAGAAACATCTCAAGGATGATCAATGGAAACAGGATGCACCTGAGCTCAATTTCGAGTCTCATAGCAAAGGGTCTGAATACTTATGTAAATAAGGTATTTCTGTTTTTAATACATTTGCAAACATTTCTAAAAACCTGTTTTCGCATTGTTATTATGGGGTATTGTGTTTAGATTGATGCAACATGTTTTTTTTTAATCGATTATAGAATGAGGCTGTAATGTAACAAAATGTGGAAAAAAGGGAAGGGGTCTGAATACTTTCCGAATGCACTGTATCAGCCTCTCAGGCTGCTATTGAATCTAATCAAGCTCTGAGAATGAAATTGAATCTGATCAGCCTGTCAGGAATGGAGCTCACCCACTCTGTAAATTGTAATATTATCCATAACACTTGAAGTATCCCTTACAATTATACACATCAGTTATGTAAGCTAACAACCAGCAAAGATAACAAGCTAGCAAGCCAACAAGACTACCTAGCTCGCTCGCTCACAAGACTAGCTGCGTTGTTCCTTGCATGTGATTGTCTGTAGTCTTGGGGGTGGCACACAGCCTGGGAGACATAACTGCATCGTTCAGGGCTTAAATGCCCCACGAGGGCTTAGATGCCCCAAGCAGAGTATGTGAGTGGAGCGAGGAGATGAGCGTGCCCAATTTGACTTGAGCATGAAGCTAGTTTTGAGTTTCCCAAAGGCTGGAGTGTCAGCCTTCTCGCCCTCTCCAATAGTACTCCAAGTAGTGCTCACTTCACAAGCTCAGGGCATGCCCGGCCCAGCATGCATTTGTAGTCTACTTGTGCGCTGCTATAGCCTCATGCTTTAACTACTGTCATGGAGCTAAATATTTTCATTAAGAAACTGATAAAGCACACAGGTGCAAAATCAAGGTGACTTACAAAGATGAAGAGGACCCAGAGCAAGAGGGAATGCGCTGATGTAGTGTCCACAACTAAAGAATCATTGCGGAATCTGAAAATGCATGTATCCCGAAAGCATGATGGTGTACTTAATATGTGCACATGCTAACAGAAAGGAACGAGGTGGGTAGCTAGCTAAGTGTGTCATTGTAGCAAAGTATTTATAAATAAAAAATCTAATCTATTAAAAAGTTTATTTCATTTTCGTTCTATTATCTATACAATAGGCCAGGGTTCTTCAATTCCGGTCCTGGAGGGCCGAAACACTTCTGTTTTTTATTTCTACCTGGTAGTTAATTGCACTCACCTGGTGTCCCAGGTCTGAATTAGCCCCTGATTAGAAGGAGAGGATGAAAAACAGAGGTGTTTCGGCCCTCCAGGACCGGAATTGAAGAACCTTGCAATAGGCCATCATTGATTTTGGCACAATAGGCCTGGCATATTAGCTCTTTCGAGCTTTCTGTTTTGATAGGGTTATTTAGCCTAAAAACCTTTAGGCCTACCTATAGAAAAAAACTAAAACAACTCTGCATACCTGCCCAGCCTGGCAAGAGTGGCCCGAAGGGTGTTTAGCATCCCTTGTGGCTCTGCAAGCACAGAGAGGGTATTCTCCGCTGCTGGCCTGCTCTCCAGGCACCATCGCATGAAGCCACAGACTCTGGCCAGACGAATTCATTTTTGGAAACAAAAGGCACTGAGCCTAATTAGGCATTTTTCATTTAATTTGTATTTAACTCTTAGTAAATTCTAAGTAAGTCACAGCCTATATGCGCAATTTATAGACTAATGATTTAATACAACTAAATGTTGTTTAAATGCTGAGTGCTTAATGTCCCTGCCAGCCTAGTGTGTCGCATTCACAAATGCTTCAGAATGTATTTATTTGTAGGCTATATAGCCTTGAAATAATTAAAATAATATTCCTAAATAATTCATTTTCGGGAGCGCCGCTCGAACCCTCAAAGCATGCTTGAGTGGCAGAGACGATATCCGCGCTTATAAACCTGGGTCGCTACACAACTCCCTACTTTCAAACAGCGCGTCCTCGCGCTAGACCTCAGACGCAGTCATACACAAGAGATCCACATAGCACAGCGTTTCCCAAACTCGATCCTCAGGACCCCAAGGGGTGCACATT